TCTTGCGCTGCGTCAGGGTTGGGTCCAGTCTCACTGCTGAGTCCGTGCCCCGGGGGGAGCTGCACAGTGATCTCCCACCTCTGTGCAGCCAGTGGCCTGTGCTCCCCAATGCCAAGCTGGAGCATCCACATTTATTTGAGAAATAAAATTTGCAGAATTTTGCAGATTTTTAAAATATTGTGTGCAGCGTTTTTAATTTTTTGGCACAGAATGCCCTCAGGAGTAACACACACGCACACTTTCCCACATACAAAATTGCAAGGGTAAAGAGATGAAGACAATCTCCAGTTGCTCCACCAGTCATAAACCATTGCAGAAAAGTCAAGATACCCAGTGAGATGGGTCAATAACTTGAGCTATTACAGCAAATCTTGGGTGAAATTCTGAACACTTGCATCAATGGAAGTTCTGCCACTGACTTCAGTATGGCCAGGATTTTATCCCTTCCTTCAGTTTGTCTTGAGATGGGCAGTTATTGACCAAACAATTTCCATCCATGATCCTGTGATAAACATGCAGGAATTATTCTCAGCTACCATGACATTTCCATGCATACAGTGTGGCACAATCAGGACCTCTGAAGTTCTCTCTGGCCAAATGAGGTTTTTTATTTTATTATTATTATTAAGTATTATTATTGTTTACTGCAAATTCTATCTGGAAATTTTTCAGTATTTTGCTGGTTCTTTTGCTACTATCAAATATCAAATTATGGAGAGGTTTTTAAAAAAGTGAATGAGATGAGAGGCGTTAGAGTTTAACTTTCCTATCACTCTTGCAAAGGACTTTTAATTACATCCAATAAAAATATGATTAGGTTTAACAATAAAAGAGAACTAAATATAAAATAATAGTGTTCCACTAATTTTACCTTTCAAAATTAATGTTGCCGCACTTTCTATTTTTCTTCAGAGAAATGTCAGGCAGAAATATCAATCTATCCTCAGGGAAAAATCAAAGCATCTGAGACTTGAAAAGAATCCCGTGTTTAAATGAGTTAGTGCATTGGAATTCAGTTGGGAGCAGTGTATTTTGAGTAACAATGTAATAGAGGATTTTTTCATTATTAGATTATACACCTATACATCAAACACTGGGGCCAGCATCTAGAATAGCTACAACATTTGACCATTTGTAAGCAGGCTTCAGTGCAATCTAGTCTTCATTAGAGCCTTAACTAGACGTTCTAACACATGGAGTGGTTAAAAATAAAGAGTTGGAAGTTTACTAAAAGACTGTATAGCAAAAAAGTTATTAGGAGGAAAGTATTCCAGTGGGTGATGAGAATAAACCAAGAGACAACATTCCTAGCTGCATCACTGATTTACTGGGTGACATCACTTCATCTCTATGCCTCAGTTTCTCTATCTGAGAAAATAAGGCTAATGATGCTTGCTCACTATTGCAAAGCATTTTGAAATCGATGGTTAAAAACGGCTGAAGAAGTATTTTTATAATTTGTAGGGACATATACAAATGTTTAGGCAAAAATATGATTTCATATTTTGAACACCATTTTTCATCGCGAAGAATGCAAGAAATTTTACAAAGTGTTCTTTTCTTTGGAAAAAAAATAGAATATTATGAAAAAATGCCAGAAGCTCAGTGAGAACACACAACTGAAACATACAATTAGGTACGGAGCAGATTCCAGGATAAACTTTCAAAGGGGGGGGGTTGGTTTTGTTTTTTAAATTGAAAAGAGTGTGACCTCTATTGTATTATGAAGTCTTTGACAGTGTAATTTGGATTTCCAAAAGAATGCATGCCCTATAATGAAGAGTGTGTAAAAAATGGTGCACTTGTTCAAACAGTCAGGTAACTTATGCACATTTAGAGACCCACGCAGTATGTGTTTTAACCTGAAGTGTTAGTCGAGGGGATAAAATCTGCAGATTTTTTTAAATTGTTTATTTAGAACCTGACTGTTCCCATTATAAAGTTTTATTTTTCCTAAATGAACTATCGATATTACCATCTGACAGGAAAATAAGCTTCCTAGGGAAAGTCAAGTGCCTGGGATTCACTAGCCACAGACCTCTCCACTGAGCACACGTGGATGCTCACCAGCAAGTAAAGGGAGTATGATCGTCTCAGTATTATTCTTTAATATTTATGTTATGGTAGCAGCTTGAGGCTCAAATCGGGATTAAGGTGCAATGGTGCCTGGGGCAGTACAAACACATGGACCCTGCCCCAGAGAGCTTACACAGCAAAAAAATCTGATTTTTTTGTTTTGTTTTACCATCAAGAGCAAACAAGCAGGTACTCAATACAACTTTTTAAAGATTATAAGTATGCAATGCTGGTGATCATCACCAATTGCCTTTAATACATGGAAGAAACAAGGTACATCCTAAATTTCAGCGTAACGTAACATTACAAAATGTTCTTTTCCTCCTTTTAAATGGAAACTAAAACAGGGTGACTCACTCAGTTCTTTCATTTCATTTTTCATCTTTGTGTGGTGAGGAGACTCAAATCTTTTTCAATCACAGGGGAGAGGGGGTTAAAACATGTAAGACGGGACAGATTGCTTATTTGCACTGTACAGTGATGGTCACATAAACACCACCCTATACCGGAAACCTACTGACTACTATACTTACCTACATGACTCCAGCTTCCATCCAGGACACATCACACGATCCATTGTCTACAGCCAAGCCCTAAGATACAACCGCATTTGCTCCAATCCCTCAGACAGAGACACACACCTACAAGATCTTTATCAAGTTCTTAAAACTACAGTACCCACCTGGGGAAGTGAAGAAACAGATTGACAGAGCAAGACAGGTACCCAGAAGTCACCTACTACAGGACAGGCCCAACAAAGAAAGTAACAGAACACCACTGGACATTACATACAGCCCCCAGCTAAAACCTCTCCAGCACATCATCAACAATCTACAACCTATCCTGGAAAACAATCCCTCGCTCTCACAGACCTTGGGAGACAGGCCAGTCCTCGCTTACAGACAGCCCCCCCAACCTGAAGCAAATACTCACCAGCAACTACACACTACACCACAGAAACACTAACCCAGGACCCAATACCCGTAACAAATCCCGTTGCCTTCTCTGTCCCCATATCTTCTCTAGCGACACCATCAGAGGACCCAACCACATGAACCACACCATCAGGGGCTCATTCACCTGCACATCTACTAATGTGATATATGTCATCATGTGCCAGCAATGCCCCTTTGCCATGTACATTGGCCAAACCAGGCAATCTCTATGTAAAAGAATAAATGGACACAAATGAGACATCAGGAATGGTAACATACAAAAGCCAGTAGGGGAACACTTCAATCTCTCTGGACATTCTAGAACAGATTTAAAAGTAGCCATCCTGCAATGAGAAAACTTCAAAAACAGACTTCAAAGAGAAACTGCAGAGCTACAATTCATTTGCAAACTTTACACCTTTAATTTAACAAGCCTTTAATTTGGGCTTGAATGGGGACTGGGAGTGGCTGGCTCATTACAAAACCAATTTTCCCTCTCTTGGTATTGACACCTCCTCCTCAATTATTGAGAGTGGACCACATCCACCCTGACTGAACTGACGTTGTCAACACTGGTTCTCCACTTATAAGGTAACTCCTTTCTCTTCATGTGTCAGTATATTTATGCCTGCATCTGTAATTTTCACTCCATGCATCTGAAAAAGTGGGGTTTTTTTTACCCATGAAAGCTTATGCCCCTACCTCTAAATGTCAGAGGGGTAGCCGTGTTAGTCTGGATCTGTAAGAAGCAACAGAGAGTCCTGTGGCACCTTTAAGACTAACAGATTAGTTAATCTTAAAGGTGCCACAGGACTCTGTTGCTTTTTACCTCTAAATGGTAGTTCTCTTAAAACTTGCTCCACTGGCAGATGAGCACTGCAAAGTTTCATACCAGCAAAGTCTGTGATTTCAGAAGACAAAGGACATAACTGAAAGAATCTAAGATTTTCTTTTACACACAAGGGGAAAGAGCCCTTCTTGCAACTAAGGGCTTGGCTACACTTGCGAGTTACAGTGCATTAAAGGAGCACCAGGCGCACTAGCTCACGACCCATCCACACTGGCAAGGCACGTAGAGCGCTCTGACTCCGTGGCTAGAACGCTCCTGGTACTCCACCTCAGCGAGTGGAATAACGTTTGATGCACCCCCGCTGGAGCGCCCCAGCGTCACTGTGAACGAGGTGTTGCATTACTGCACTCTGATCAGCCTCCAGAAACGTCCCATAATCCCCTTAAGTCAAGTGGCCACTCTTGTCATTGTTTTGAATCGCTGTAGGAATGCGGATATGCCCTTTGAAAGCTCCATTTCTGACAGCTGGCATACTTATCTGCTCTGAGACAAAGCAACCATTACTGTGGAATGCTGTGTGAGAGAGAGAGAGAGAGAAGTGGGGAGGGGGGGTAGGTCTGCTGCTGTCTGAACTTACAAGATAGCATGCTGACATGCTCTCAGCCCCCCAAAAAAACACCTCTCTCTCCCCCACACATACACACAACATACGCCGTCACACTCCACCCCATTTGAAAAGCATGTTGCAGCCACCTGCATGCTGGGATAGCTACCACAATGCACTGCTCTCTGTGGCCCTTGCAAGAGCTGCTAATGTGGCCACGCCAGTGCACTGTCAGTGTGAACAGACTACAGCGCTTTCCCTACTGTGCGCTACAAAGGCTGGTTTAACTCAAAGCGCTCTACATCTGCTAGTGTAGCCATGCCCTAAGGCCATGATCCTGTAACTAGCTCTGTGTGAACAGGTGCCTGCAATGTGCAGGATAAAGGCCTAATAGCTCAGTGCCGCCTATCATTTTTTTTGGTCAAGGGGGGTAAGAGAACATTACTGGGTCTCCTCTTGCTCAAGTCTCTTCCATCAAGAGCAATCACTTTATGCTTATGTCTATTTAATAAAGATGAAGTTCTAAGATGTCTGGCATTAACTCAAAGAATGACTCCCTAAACATAATGCATTTTCAGGTGAAGCTTCTTCTCACCTGGCAAGTTCTTTAATTAAGTTGGCAATGCGTCTCTTGTCCTCGGGACATAAATCCTTTAAAGAAGCACTCTTCACTCCGCCTTCATTAGTGACCTGAAAAGTAAAATCTGCATTTTAAAATGCAATAGTTTATACACAAGTATTTCTGAAGCTATTAAAAATATTTCAGGATGTAATGGTTAGAAAAGGATGCTAAACAAACTCAGACTGGAAGCGCGGTGCCTATTTTTAACTTTAAGGGTAATTAACCATTGGAACAATTTACCACATTTTGTGGTGGATTCTTCTAAAAAAGACATGCTCTAATTCAACCACAAGTTACTGGGCTCAATGCAGGGTTTGCTGGGCGAAGTTCTCTGGCTCGTGTTATGCAGGAGATTCACCAGATAAGCAAAATGTTTCCTGGTGGCCTACAAATCTAGGATTATATTTGTATTGTGACTGCAGGAACTCATTGTGTGGCTAAACAGAGGAGTCATAGAGAGCAACAGGAATGCAACATACAAGCAGTGATCAGGGAGATAACAGGATAGGAATCTTGTTAGCTCCATTGTGTTTTGTTTATTTAGAAACTCACTAAACTGAGTTACCCCCACCCCACTAGCCAGTGTCAGTTCTTTTTTATTAGATTTCAAATCTACACTATACTCAACTGCTTCTCAACCACTGCCAATCCTGCCCCACAAACAAGATAATTTTTAAATCTAATCTACCATGCTTTCTTCTTCTTTGAGCCAGTCCACTCCTATAATTTCACCAAAATAAATGGATGCATTTGGTACCCATGTCCACTAGAGGGCGTACAGTTTATAGTTTAAAAGTCGATTCTTACAGTATCACTGTTATTGTCATTACATATAATTAGGCTTGGACAGATTAGACTATTATTGGTAAATGTTGATTTCACTGTGCATATAAAAACCAGTGGAAAAATATTTCCATCAATGATCAAAATTTACAGATAGGGAAGGAAAACATCATTTGAGAACATACAGTTTGATTTAAGGGTATCTACACCTCTACCCCGATATAACGCTGTCCTCGGGAGCCAAAAAATCTTACTGCGTTATAGGTGAAACCGCGTTATATCGAACTTCCTTTGACCCGCCAGAGTGCGCAGCCCCGCCCCCCCAGAGTGCTGCTTTACCGCGTTATATCTGAATTCATGTTATATCGGGTCACGTTATATCAGGGCAGAGGTGTACTTTGTATATTGACATGTGAGGTTGACACTTTGTTTTCACAATTATAAAACTTTCATTTTTTATTCTCAACATCTGCTGTCATTAAATAAGTATCGTCTTACCTGTACTTAATTTCCCACAACTGAATATTAAATTGTAAAAATCTAAATAAGTCCTTAAAAAGAGACAATATCCGTAAAAATTATATTAAAAAAAATTGAATTCTGCAAAGCCTACATATAATTGTGGATATTTCCATGGGTTCTTCCACTGAACTCTAAGTTTGGCCTTACTTAGTAAAAGAACAACTTTATACAGCTAATGATTTTATCCAAGGCCTGTGCCAGGCATTCTCATACTAGAGTGATGAGCTCAGTATAAGAACCTACATGGAATACAAAGCGATCCAAAGAAGAGGTGGAGATTGAATTATTTTTAATCCAAATTATTTGCTCCAGGAATTTGGTAGTAATAAAACAGAAATCAAACTAAGTGGCAGTAATGGCAAATACTCAAGAATGTGTTTACAGTGTGCTAGATCTTTACATACATGTAATAAAACCTACAAGTTCCTCTTGCTTGAGTAGAAGATTGGAGAGTTCTAAACTTTGATCATCATCAGATGATGTAGTCAGATCATATAACATTCTTTCGATTCTACTAGTATCTCAGGAGGATGTTAAACAGCAGCTACTAAAGTTAGACAATTTTAAGCCAGCAGACCCAGATAACTTGCATCCGAGAGTTTTAAAAGAGTTGCCCATGGGAGCTTGCTAGACTTTTAATGTTGATTTTCAATAAGTCTTGGAGCACTGGGAAAGTTCCAGAAGACTGGAAGAAAGCTAATGTTGTGCCAATATTTAAAAAGGGTAACGGGATGACTCGGAAAATTATAGGTCTGTTAGTCTGACATCGATCCCAGAAGGATAATGGATGGCTGAAACAGGACTCGATTAAGAAAAAACTAAAGGAGGGTAATATAATTAGTGCCAACCGACATGGGTTTATTTTGAGAAAGAACCTGTCTAACTAAAAAAATTTTGAAGAGATTACAAGTTTGGTTGATAAAGGTAATAGTGTTGATGTAATATACCTAGACTTCTGTAAGGCATGACATTTTGACTGAAAACCAAAAAGGTATAAAAATAACATGGCACACATGGTCTCAAAATGGAACTGTAAACAGGGAATCACCATTGAATGGGTGAGTTTCTAATGGCATCCCACAGGATTGGTTTTGGCCCTATGCTATTTAACACTTTTATTAATGACCTAGAAGAAAACAAAATCATCACTGATAAAGGCTGCAGATGACACAAAAATTGAAGTGGTAAATAATGAAGAGAACAGGTCACTGATTCAGAGCAATCGTGAATGCTCGGTAAGCTAGGCACAAGCAAAGAACATACATTTTAATAAGGCTAAATGTAAATGTATAATCTGGGAACAAAGAATGTGGACCATACTTACAATATGGGGAACTTTATCCTGGGAAGCAGTTAGTCTGAAAAGGATTTGGGGGTCATGGTGGATAACTAGCTGAACATGAGCTCCCGGTGTGACTATGTGGCCAAAAGGACTAACGTGATCCTTGGATGAATAAACATGGGAATTCTTGAGTAGGAGTACAGAGGTGGTTTGACCTCTGTATTTGGCACTGGTGTGACCACTGCTGGAATATCGTGTCTAGTTCTGGGGCCCACAATTCAAGAAAAATGTAGATAAATTAGAGAGGGTTCAGAGAAGAGCCACAAGAATTATTCAAGGATTAGAAAACACACTTTATAGTGACAGACTCTAGGAGCTCGATGGATTTTAGTTAAAGAGAAGGTTAAGGGTTGAGTTGATTACAGACTATAAGTACCTACCTGGGGAAAAAATATTTAATAATAGGATCTCCAATCTAAGAGAAAAAGGTATAAAACAATCCAATGGCTGGAAGTTGAAACTAGACAAATTCAGACTGGAAAGAAGGCATGTATTTTTAACAAAACTATTTAACCATTGGAACAATTTACCAAGGGTCCGTGTTCCCTCTAAGCTGCGCAGTCGCGTGGCCGCCCAGAAGTGAATCAAGTGCCACACACTTGATTAGCAGAGCCGCGCACATCCGGCAGCGTGTGTTCAGGTGTCCCTCCCCGAGCTACTCTGCAGCCACGTTGCTCCTGCCCTCGCACGTTACAACAAAGCTTAAACTTGTTCTTCATAATAATTTTAAAAACAATACTAGCTGCCTATTTATTTTAAAAACATTAAAAAATATCCACCTCCCTTTCCATTGCTTATAAGGAGTTTTGAAGTTTAAATCTCCTCAGTGTGCTAGATATGCTTGCTTTCACCTGCTTAGCTCTTGGAAGTCCAGAGGCTCCGGGCTGCTTGCCCCATGCTGCCCAGGGTCCCTATGGGACAGCTCTGTCCACCATTAGGGATTTTTTTCCCAAGAACCCCCTGTAACACTTTGTGAACCCCCAGGGACTCACGAACCCCAGTTTGGGAACCACTGCTATAGAGGCATATCCCTCCTCTCTGTTGGAGGGAAGATCATCGCCCACATCATCTTGAACCGCCTAATAGCCAGTATTTCCGAGACAAATCTACCTGAAAGTCAATGTGGTTTTCGACCTGGCCGGAGCACAGTCGACATGGTGTTTGCTGTCAGACAAATACAAGAGAATTGCATTGAACAGAACATGCACCTGTGTGCTGTCTTCATAGATCCGACAAAGGCGTTTGATACCGTCAACAGGGAAGCCCTTTGGACTATTCTAACACGACTTGGCTGCCCAAGAAAATGTGTCCAGATTATACGCCTTTTTCATGACAGCATGACAGGCGAAGTATTGTCTGATGGAGCCACATCAGCCCCCTTTAACATCACCAATGGTGTGAAACAAGGATGTGTTCTCGCTCCTGTCCTATTTAAACTGTTCTTTGCATGTGTCCTTAACCATGCAGTGAAAGATCTGGACCGAGGTATATACTTGAAATACCGGCACGATGGTTCACTTTTTGACCTCCGTCGCCTGAATGCAAAGACTAAGACAGTGCAGAAACTTCTTCTTGAGGCACCCTTTGCTGACGATTGTGCCCTCATGGCTCACACTGAAAATGATCTTCAGCACATTGTCAACAAGTTTGCTGAGGCCTCGCCACTTTTCGGACTAACTATCAGCCTCGGAAAGACAGAAGTTCTCCATCAACCTGCACCTGGATCAAATGCTTCTGTCCCGAGTATCTCCATCGACGGCACTCAGCTGAAAGTAGTGGAGAACTTTAAATATCTGGGTAGTGTCATATGCAGTGATGGATCACTGGATAATGAGATAAATGCACGAATATCCAAAGCAAGCCAGGCACTTGGCTGTCTGCGTGTCAAAGTTTTAAATCACCATAACATCCGGATGTCAACAAAACTGCTTGTATACAGAGCTGTTGTTCTTTCATCTCTTTTGTACGGGTGCGAAACATGGACACTATATAGGCGTCACATCAAGCAGTTCGAAACATTTCACATGCGCTGCCTCCGTAACATCATGAAGATCTGCTGGCAAGACAAAGCGCCCAATCTCGAAGTCCTCGAGAGAGCCCAGATGACAAGCATCGAAATGATGATCATGAAGTCACAGCTACGTTGGACCGGTCATGTCAGCCGCATGGATGCCAACAGAATCCCCCCCCAGCTCCTGTATGGTGAGCTCACCCAGGGCATCTGGCATATAGGTCATCCACGGAAACGTTACAAGGACACCATCAAAGCCAATCTGCAGTACAGCAGTATCAAACCTAGGGACCTTGAGGACACCGCCAGCGATAGAACACAGTGGCGTGCAACAGTCAGAAATACCTGCATCGCCTTTGAGGAAGACCGCTGCCGGCGTCTACAAGAGGCACACGAACGACGTCACAGCGCATCAGCAGCGCACAATCCACTGATCGCGAACTTCCCATGCACCATCTGCAGCAAAATGTACACCTCTAGAATTGGCTTGTATAGCATCAGAGGGCACACCATAAGACCAACAACTGATGATCTGCACAGATTTGTCATCATCGGATAGATGGACTACCAAGAAGTGTAGATGACCTAGTAGGTCTTTAAACTTTTCTTATTTTCTATTTTAAATTAAAGAGATACTATTTCAGAAGTGAAACCAAGTGACTAGATTGGATCACTATTTCCTGATGTCTTCTGGGTGCTTTGTAGCTTATTTCATAGCTAACCAAAGATCTACTGTACATAGAACTGTATGGGAATAACAATACATGTTTAACACAGTCCAACTTGCACACCATTCGTATCAGTCATCAGTTTTAGTCTTTGCCCTGTCTTTAGACCGCAGGCCCCTCTCAGAAGGGACTTCATCTCTAATGCTGCCTGCTAGCCATCATGCAAGTTTGCAATGGTGTAAAAGTCAGTGATAAGTAATGATTAGCTACAGCTTTTTCTACTATTTGTCTGAACTCTTCAGAATAAGAAAAGTTCATGCTTGCTGACCTGGTGCCCTGTTGGGTCTCCTGTGCTTTTAAATGGATCCATGGAAACAGAAGGAGCAGCTCCAGGGACCTTCAGCTTAGCTTCGCTTTTTCGACCCTTTACCACATGTCTTGTTCTTAAATTTCCTTCGGCAGAAATTCCTATAGAAGGAAGACAAACAGACGTTGAGAGGAGATTCTTGGTTTGCTCTTACAAGCCCTCCCCACAAAACATTTAGTTGAATATGGAATGAGCCTAAAGAGAGATGGATAGCACTGGCTAGAGCCTATCACACACACTTCCAAATGCAAATGCTCCCAAAATAACCTATGGACTTGGACACACCTGCTAGTTCTGTCCTATGACTGCACAAACCAAAGCATAAACCAAAGGTCCTTCTGTAATAACACTGTAAATAAGGACTAACAAGGCATCATAAATAAGGCTAATGTCACCACCGCTTATGTGACATATTTTAATGTTTCACATTTTACAAATATTTAGTCTTGGAAAGATTCGATTTTTTAATTGGTAAATGTCAGTAAATGTCAATTTCACTGTACACACACACACAAATGAAAAAATATTTCCATTGACAATAATAAAAACGTACAGAGGCAAAGTAAAAAAACGCTGCTTGAAAACTCAGAGTTCGATTTAGGGTATTTAGTTTGTATATTTTGATATGTGATGTTGACAATTTGTGTTTTAATAATTATAAAACTAACTTTTCAAATCTCAGCATCTGTCATTAACTAGTGCCTGACCCCTCAATAATTACTCACAACTCTGAAAATTTATCAATAAAAATCTAAAAATGCTTAAAAATAAAAAGTGATATTATCCATCGAAATTATTTAAAAAAAAGAATTCTGCCAAGCCTACATATATATTGTTGCTGTATATTTTTGCCCAAGATTAATGCTGTTTGTTCCTCATGTCAAACTTCTGGGTAACCACAATACCTGGCTCTTATCTGGGAGCTTTTCATCAGTACATCTCAAAATGCTTCACAATCTTTAATGTATTTCTCCTCACAATACCCTTGAGAGGTAGGGAAGTGCCATTAACCCTACCTGAAAGATAGATAACCAAGGCACAGAGAGGCTAAATGACTTTCCCAGGGCCACAAAGGAAGTCTGTAGCAGAACAAGGAACTCAACCCAGGCCTCACAAGTCCTAGGTTAGCACCCTGACTACTGTGTGAACTCTATAGAGATTTTCATTATTGCTAACATTAGTTCAGCTCCACTGCCAGTGGCAATGTAGTAAGCTCTGACAACTCCAACACAGACAAGGTCTTCAGTCTTTAGAACCCTAAGAACCAAATTCTGATCACTGTTTAGAGGTACCAGGAAGTTTTAAATATTTCACTCATATTAGCAAACTTGGTACATTTATTTTTTGGATGGAGATTTCAGAAGTGAATCTGTAATTAAAAAGAGAAAAGTTCTTTAGAAACTTTCCCATTCCCCTCTCCCATCCCACTCCTCACCCCCATTTAGAGGGGACAGAGTTCCTAAAGTGGTCTGATATTTTTTGGTTTGCATTATGAACTATTTCCACCGCAAATCCAGAAAGTTATCCTAAAATCATAACCTTTCCTTTCCAGGTCAGAGACTGTTAGGCCCTGGCATCACCTGGGTTTGACCCATACAAGCTACAATCACATTCAGCCATGTTTTAAACTCAGCTGTAATATAGGCCCTCTACCTTGCATAACCAGGGTTTTATATATGGGGGGGGGGGGGAAGTCAACTGTGTTGGTCCAAACCTCAATCACATGGTTTCTCAATGCAGTTTGCAGCCCAATTCCGTAAACACACACATACCTTGCTCATGTTGTGTGTTACATGCATATTTTTTAGGATCAGGCAAGGACACAACCTTGTTATACCTGTTTTAAGGCTCTGTGTTTGAAAACAGTTATTATGATTATAAATTCTGGGACAATTAATACCGCCATCTAAACTAAATGTACAACCATCTTTTATGATAGACTGGATCGATCTGCATTTAATTTATCTCACCCCAAATCTCGCTAAGAGATGTTCAAGCATTTAGAGATGTTCAAGTCTTTAACAGAGACACAATTAAGATTCAGCCTACACCACAGATTAGACAGAACTGTGACGTACCCCTACATCGGAATGAGTCCCTAAACAATTCATCTTCTACTGTATACTTTTATAATCAGTGAGCCATAGCTCCTCTACTATAATTCTTTATGTCCCAACACAAGCAGGCTCTATGTCTCATGTGCAACTGAAAAATACAAAACTGAAAAATCACGGCAATGTTTCACTTGACAAAGTGTCATTTACAACTATTAGAAAATCATACCTGGCACATACACCACTGGCTGTTCTTCATCAGAAACTGTACGCAATTTCATTAAAGGAAAACAAATCAAAGAGAAAAAAGTCCAAGCTGAGATCTACAAAAGAAATATGAAAATGCACCTTTAAATCTGTGATTTGCAAAAAAAATTGTTGACCCGATGCCTTTTATGGTTCTCCACCATTTAGAAAGCATCTATTGCAGGACAAACTTGACCAGAACAAAACATGAATGCCGACTTCGAAAGAAGACACTTACTAATATGCACTCTGTATGTACTAGCTTTCATCTAAAGATCATCTCAGAGGTCATCTTTACAAAAGATTCACAGGACCAGCCCCAGTTGCAACTACAACTATTAAGGTAATGAAGCAACACAATATTTATTTGAATTAGACTAAGTTAACATTATATAAGGAATCGCTTGGGACAGACAGGGAAGGCAAATTGCTGAGACTTATGTTATGTAGTCCCACTGACACTGAACCACATACCACAACAGACTACACAGTGCACAAGGTATATGACTAAGACCATTAAGCTAAAAGGAAACAAAGATTTAAAAGGAAGTTGGTCATTCTCAGCTGATCTTTCCTCAAAGGATAGGTGAGAGTTGAATGTCTAGGGACTTTTCATGTATTTGTTTAGCCAGGAGATTGAGATTTGGTTTCAGGCAGTTATTTGTGAAGAAAGCTATTTCAGAAATGTTCAAATAACTGGTTGTCACAATCATAAATACAATTTACTATATCTAGCCCTCTAAAAGCACCTGGTACTGGGCAACATATTATTTGTATTACAGTGGTGCCTACAGGGCCAAAATCCCTGCCCCACATAAATTAGTCTAATGATAAGAGTGCAAAAACCAGCAGAATCCAGAGCAGGGTGTGGCCTTTAGAGTCTCTTCTTTAAAGAGGCAATATGCCGTTTTGTTGTAGCGGTGTCAGTTCCAGGATATTAAAGAGACAAGGTGGGTGAGGTAACAGCTTTCATTGGACCAACTTCTGTTGGTGAGAGAGACAAGCTTTTGAGTTTTCACAGCACTCTTCTTCAGGTCAGGTGTAAGCTTGTTTCTCACCAACAGAACTTAGACCAATAAAAGACATTACCTTTGCTTACCGACACTGTCTCTTTAAAGAGACAAGGTGGGTGAGGTAAAGATGTTTGTTTGCAAAATAAATTATTAAGCCCACCTTTGATTGAAAGAATTGCAGGAGTCCAACTCATGTCACTATTTACGCTGTTTACTTTTTTGCATTTTTCTTGTCATGGACAATGAAACTCAATTACATCAGTTCCTCAATTGTCTCACTTTCATGTTCTTTGGCTGCAATGTTTGGGGCTCAAATATTGCAGGGCAATGTTTACAAGCCATCTTTCTCATTCCCAGACCTGAGGAAGAGCTCTTTGTACCTCGAAAGCTTGTCTCTCTCATCAACAGAAGTGGGTCCAATAAATGTTACCTCACCCACCTTGTCTCTCTAATATCCTGGGACTGACACAACTACAACAACATGGGGGGAGGGATAGCTCAGTGGTTTGAGCATTAGCCTGCTAAACCCAGGGTTATGAGCTCAATCCTTGAGGGGGCCACTTAGGGATCTGGGGCAAAATCAGTACTTGGTCCAGCTAGTACAGGCAGAGGGGCTGAACTCAATGATCTTTCAGGGTCCCTTCCGGCTCTATGAGAAGGTATATCTCCATAACACCGCATTAAACTCCGCCCAGATAAACAGTGACACTTGCAACTCGCCGAGAGCTGTGCAAAATGGACCCAATTGCACATACTGAATGCAATGGCCCATAGGGGAGACAAGAAGTTGCTGTCCTTACGTACCATCTTGATCCAAGAAGCCTCGGCTGGGATCAAGATGCCCATTGGACAACTTTTTCCCCACCATGCAGAGCTTAGACTAAAACAACAATGTCACGGCAACCACCAACATTTCTATAAAGCGGCAGTGCTGTGGCACTAGGTATGGTGCATGAGCCAACAAAACCACCTGCAAGGGCCATTCACTGTATTACAGAGCAGGAGCACCCTTCCAAGCTGAGACACCTCCCAGTCTGTGTGCTCCCTACCAAATGTCCCCAGAACAGTTCATACCAACTCCCACTGAGATAACACACAACCGTGTACATACGTGCCCACCCCCACTGCCAAGATGGGCTGAGATACTCCTCCAACTCCATCCATACATATGACAGGCTGGGACAGGACACTCTTCCCAGCCCAGGTTGATCCCTATATTTCCTCCCCATGAGATGAAACACGTCTTTACACACAAACATACACAATCTGCGTGCACCCCCCCCCCCAATGTGCAGAGGGCCTTCAGCCTCTATATCTCCTTCCTTAGGTACTTATACGGCCCTCATCACCATAGTAGCTGAGCACCTCACAATCTCTAATGTATTTATACACACACACACACCAGTGTTATCCCCATTTTACACCCGAGGAACTGAGACACAGAGAGCCTAAGTAACTTATCCACAGTTACCCAGGATGTTTGCGGCAGAGCAGGGAATCGAATCCAGGTCTCCCACAGTCTAATACCCTAACCACTGGACCATCCTACAGGTTGAGCCCCTAGCCCCCCTGTCTCCTCCAGGCTCAGTTTCCCCCCCGCCCAACACCCCTGTTTCCTACAGACACAGGCTCAGCCCCAACACCCCGGTTTCCTACAGGCTCAGCCCCCCCCAACACCCCTGTCTCCTACAGGCTCCGCCCCCCCCCCACCCCCCCCCCTCCCTCCCGCCTCCGG